CTCAAGTTTCTGGACCTCTTGCTTTAGCTTCGCTGCGCCACCAGTTAGCATCTCTACTTATATATTTTTTCAGAGTCAAATAATCACGATCGCTGCCTGTCAAAGAGCGAACTCCTGTGAAGCTAGCGCTTTGCTTCTAACCTTCTTCATGGCCTGTGTTTAGGGGCGAACTCGTACCCTTCAGCATTAATGGGAGCGAAGCGGAGTGGGCCGCACGATCAGATGCCTTTGAATGGGGAGTATTTTTGTATTTATCGTTCTTTCATCGATGAAAATTCGTTAGCGTATGAGATTATTTCCCTGAAGGTAGAAAGTGGATACTGCTAGTTTCAGTTGTTGGGTAAAACCGATAATTAGCTGCAATAAATACGAAAGCTCCAGATCCAGGAAGCCATTCACTACCTGAAGACACTGTTTCTTCTCATTAGCTTTCCTATCCAGAACACCCAAACGACTGTTGACCGTAGGGGCTTGCGCTGCGACTTGCGGTGCGTAGTTTGCATTTTGCGCGAAGTATGAAGGTGGCCTCACCTTAGAGGAGCCTTTTCTGCCATGTACCAAGCTCGGTGTCCACGCGCTTTTCGGCCTGTTACACACATATTCTACTTCAAAGCACGCCTTCACTATCGTCATCATTATACTCATGCTTGCTTACAACTCTCGGCATATGCTCCAGCTTGATGAGCGAAAAATTCAAAAAATGTGTCTTTTAAATTATGGAGGTGAGAATTCGGTAAACAGTACAAGGAATTGACACGATAGACGCCTTTATGAGCATCACAAGGCCGATGTCAGACTTTGCGAATCGCGCGATTCGCTAGCGTCTGCGGTCGCGTCGCGGCCAGTGAATCACTCAATTGGCTGGTACCGCAACGCGACCGCGGACGCTAGCGAATCGCGCGATTCGCAAAGTCTGACATCGGCTCGAAGATTGCTGCGAAGCTTAATCCTTTAAGGGCAAAGATGTGACGGTTCTCCCGAGGCACAGCCATTTCGTGATGAATGATTGTAGCTAAACAAACTGCAGAAGAATGCAAGGTTATTGGAGCTCTAGGTACAGTTGAAGTTGTTCGGTCATAAATAACTTTCTTCATGGATAAAACATCAACAATAACAATAAACAACACGAAAGAAAACAATGGGTATGTGTGCCGCTTTCCGTTTCGTTGTTTTAAGAAAATGCACGGAATAAAGGTTATAAGGATAAGGATAAAGCATTTGCCGTTGATCAATCCCTTTGGGATGCGGCACGCATTCTACTTCCATTTGTACATTCGTAGTGGCGTTTGAATGCGATGTGGCCTATACAATGACTTGCGGGGGCCAGCCGATGTACAAGTCAGTGTTTTTATCCTCCCAGACAAGTCTGGTACCAATTAACCGACCCCGGAGGGATGGAAGGCTTGGTTGGCCCGGGCGACTCACGACCCAGGATTTGATCCCGAACCGCTCGCGTGGTAAGCGTGCCACTTGTCACTACACCACTTCCGCCCAATAAAGTTCGAAATAAAATTGATAGGTCATTTAAACCAAGGACACAGAATATATAAATACATATAGCAGGGGAAAATAAGGGATAAAAAGCCAGAGAAACCGACGGAAACTATTTCTTCTGTGTTTGCGCCACACGTTCTACTTCCATGTGAGGTCATGAGGGTATTTGAATGAGGTGAAGCTCATGTACTGACTTGTGGTAATGTAAGCTTACGTTTGTGTCCTTCCAGACGAGCTGGCACCAGTAAAATGAATTGCTAGAATGGCAGGTTTGATTGGCCTTTTGCTGGGTCCGATCCAGGCTTTGGCACCCGTGTCATGTCATGGTAAGCGACGCTATCCACTACTACACCACCTCCGCCCAGTAAAGCATGAGCAACAGTCAAGTGTTGAGGAAATTTTGGCATCCAATCCAACCCTTCAACTTGCTTCATGTACCTTCCATTGAATGCCCCATTGAAACTCTAGAACCGACGGTTTCTAATCTACACTCTCAAACAACACAGATCCTCTCCAAAATGTTAAATGCCTATGCAGTCAAAAACTGTGCCATCAATCGAGTGAGTATGTAGCAGTACTCCCAATGGAAAGGCTGCTATTCTTACTGAATTCCACAGATAGAAACTTTCCATATCATTGTTCATCCCTCCCCTTAGAAGTTCGCTCGAACTGACAGGGACAAATGCGATAGGATCGTAATCTGCCGCGCACAGCTAACTGTTGGAGATGTTCGGTGTGGCGTAGTCCTTGCATACAGATCTGGGCTAACTTGGCTTGGAAACCCATTCCCAACCGCCCGCTAGACAAAGCTGAACGACCCTTCTTCCTTCAGAACCATTGCTACGCTCTATCCATGTGCAGAACATTCGAATGACTCGGCTCTTCTTAGTTTGAAGTTCCTCTCCTTCAGTGCTTAATAAAAGTAATCCGAACGATAAAATCTAAATGGGCGAAAAAAACGCAAGATCTTGGATTAGATTGTGGGGTGCGACAACCCACCACTGATTCTTCTCCGACATCTGCTCTGAGCACTCCGGCATTCGTCTGCATCTATCTTATTTCTGAACCTGGTTTTCCTATTGTTGTGCAAAGTGGTCTACGATATTTGGGTGCATAGCGCTTGCCGCCCCGGAAGGTAAATAGTTCCACCATTCAGCTCGAAGACCTGGTATTTAGGTGTCGAAGTTCATTCGCCTGACTGTCAGACTTGCGAATCCGCGCGATCGCTATCGTCCGCGGTCGCGTTGCGGTACTAGCCAATTGAGTGATTTACTGGCCGCGACGCGACCGCAGATGCTAGCGAATCGCGCGATTCACCAAAGTCTGACATCGGCCTATGGGATATTCTGGTCGAAAATTGGTAAGAGTTGCGAAGAGGACCATCAGTGAGGAGCAAAGTAAGAGAACCATAAAAATACCGCCGGTCTTATCTAAATTGTCTGCCTGATCTCAGTGGAACAAGCAATAAAACATTTCCATGCCTTTCAAATTTTAGTGAATGTTTTCGCATATCTGTTATTAGTATATTTATGTTCACTTTATCAAATATTACAATGAATTTCATGCATGCTCCTAATAAGGTCCGTCTGAGGAGGAGCGAAACGACCCTTCAATTATTTCGGTTGTAAAGGGTTTCTCTTTCTTAATTGGGCTATCTTCCTCACGAGACCGTGGCACAGCACAGGGGGCAGAGAGAAAAGGCAAAAGATCACATTGTTCGAGAGTGCTCAGACACAGCGAGTAATCTTGTAGCTCGATCATGTGAGTAATTGACGCAGAGTGACGCCAGCGACGCTCGCAATTGGCTTAGCGACATCCTCCCTCCTCTGTTCGACAACCCTCACAGCGCACGCTTTAACATAACCTCCGTCTCCCGGAATCTACTCCATTGCTCCCCAATTCGCGTTTATGCCTGAAAACTAAAACATACACTTCCTAAAAAATCGTTCTCGGAAGGGAGGGGGGGAGGGTGCCGTGCATGTGTTGTATTAAGACAATCCAAGCAGCAAATTCGTCTCCTCAACTTTCTAAAATCTTGGCCAAGATTCAGTGGTTTTCACAGCACGCCATTCAGACCTCAACCTTGAAATTCCTACTTTCCCATAGATTCCCTTAGCCGACTCCTCTCAACCCTCCAGTGATAAACTGCTCTTCGCACTCTTTCTGACTCTGTCCGTCCTCTCCAAAGGAGGCTTTCAGGGCACCGCGCGCTTTTCGCAACCCGTTCCCGCCATAAACTGAGGTCGCCTGTACGACCATCAAATCATTGTTCGATCCCCGCCGCGACTAAATTCGCGGTATCAAGATGCGCGTTCTTTTCTGGCGTCCCAGTGTGCAGTCCTAACCCACCCACACATCAATCCTCGATTTTGACATTTAGCACCATTTTGGCCGCGAGATCCGTAGGCGGAAAACCGACAACGCAAAACTTAAAGTCGCCATGGGATCGAGCGCATTGGCAATTACCTCCTTGCAACTCTTTTTTGCACTGTAAAGCCCGATCAGCGACAATGAACATGGCTCGTGCGTGCCTCTTCCAGATGCAAAAATCTCGAGAAACACGCGGCTGCCCTAAAAGAACCCCCCCCCCTGTAGCGGAGCTCCTAGCAGAGCCTCCAAGCGGCTCACTGGTCGTAAACAGCTGTGCCAGCTCGAGAACGACTATTCCATGCGCTGGTGCTGAGTTTGCTGGATCTGGTTATCGAGCTAGCCCTTATTTCGGGAATTTGAGAATGTCCACTGATGTGGATTTTGACGGTTTTTCTCATGAACAGTGCAATCTGACCAGAACGTCTGTGGTGGAGAGGCCCATTTGAACTGACCCTTCTCCTGCACACGAGAGCAGCACAAATTTAATATCAGTAGAACTAATAATTTTCTCCCTTCTCAAAATCAGAGTGACGCAGAGATTTCCTTGAACATTTCCAAAAGGTGGGGTCGACCTTACCAGACCTCCATGTCTTCACCATCGCCTAAACTGTTATTGCATTTATTGTTTTGCACATAGTTCATAAAGGGTGCTCGCGAAATGTGATGATAAATTCGATCAAAGAGTTTGATCGCACTCAAAAACAACAACGTCAAAATCAGGTTCCGGTCCCGACCGTCACACTTTATTAGTGATTTGTCAACGGCAAATCGTGACGTTGACGACTGCTTTCATCAGTGTCTTCTCTTGAAAATTCGAGGTTTTTCCCGGTGTAGTCAACTCGGCGATCGAGTTCCAAAGTGTGAAAAGCCGTAGCAATTCGGCTGGCAAAAAACGGAAAGCACCGAGTGACCTTTCATCAAGGCTGATTCGTTCTCTCGTGCTTTTTTCGCATCTGGATTGCTGACGAGTGTCGATCGAAGGCCGCACAATTGAGACACGTAGACGTTTTGGTATGCTCTCTTTGAAACCAGAACGACATCTTCTCTCAGTTCCGGGTTCTCTTGAAGAGTCAAACTTGAATGGCAGCTTTAACGCGCGCTAAGTGTATTGATTGGCTCGTCCACGCGATCTTATTATGTCGCAGGCGGTAGCAAGCCAAATATGGTGTTCGTTTTGGTGTCGAGTTCTTATCTACAATTTCATAGGTTTGTTTAAGCCCACTCGCAGAAGCCAGCTGAGCCTACCTTTCCTCTGTCTTCATTCCAAAGGCTGGTGCTGCTCTGAAATACCTTTTTATCACACTTTTCCTCCCAAACCTTCTTTTTATTCCCTTGGTCGTAGTTTGTCGTTCTTAGGCCTTTTTTGCCTGCTCCCTCTGTTTTCTGCAGTGTTCCTTTGCCGGTCTCCGAGACTACAACTCTAAACATTTTACTATTCAGATTATCGCGGTATGATATGCTTTTCGCTAGTGATTTTATTAATCATAGCATACGGTAATAGTTTACGATATTACCCATCGGCGAAGTCAGGAAATACTGTTTACATCGAAGTGTTCGGCGAATCGCGGTGTATTCACACAACCACGTGAGTGATGTCATTCCATAACCTACTGTGTTTGACTATTTTTTATGTAAATAATTCGACCAACTGCCGTTCCACATCGTGTCTTTTGAATGATCACAGCTAGGACTAGGCTTCAGACCCTTTCCAGATTTTGAAGGGTTCGGGGATGTTGCAGGGTACTTACATATGTAGTCGGGAACGTGCGCAGCAATGCCACTGTAGTGTACGCCGATCTAGGTCAGAACAGAGTCGGCCACTCGTTGTGCCACATTCAAGAAGATCGTTTTATTCATGTTTGGTGGAGGTTGTATTCGGGATTTCTGGAGGGGATTGGAGTGAAAGGTATCGTTTTCTAGAGATTTGGCAATTTTTTGCGATAACGCACAGAAATTTGGTGAGAAACATCGTGCAAATGTTGCCACTATTTGAGAAAGTTCCTTACTCGTCGTAGATTTATGGGAACCCGGTGATGAAACTCTGGGTCTCATCCACTAAGGGGGGCATGCGGCGCCACAGTTGTTGCCGATCACGGAAATTCCATATTCCAAGTTTTGCTACAGGAGGAAAATTTTCTTTTACGTAAGTCTCGAAAATAGGGTCTTTCAGGTCATGAACGCTTTTCCGAAATGGTTCCTTGCATGTTGTAAAGGCTCATGCGAAGGAACATAAAACTATGGTCCATTTTTCTGAACACTTCTGGGAACCTCAAAACAGTGGTGAAGAAATGGTCCAAAGTTCAATCCGCCGTGGTGACAAATTTTTGCAATCCATGTTGGAGCCTCCAAATTGTCGCCAAATTACGAGGATGACATGTTAATCGACGCTGGTGCCATTTGGACACAATTTGGAGGCCCCAGCATACAAATTGCAAAAATTAGACATCTTAATGCTGACATACTTGGACATCTCTTCACCACATATTCTCACCCTTTGAGATTGCTCGATTCAGGAAAAAACGACCATAGTTTGTGTTTCTCGCAATCAGTCTTACAAAGTGCAGGCCTGCAGGTCTATTTTTGAAAACGCATCTCCATGTATCCTGAATGATCTCCTTGTTCGCTTTCCGCTATTGCCACGCACTCTCAGCAGCGCTCGTACTGGCCTCGCCGCAAAATAGTGTTTGGATCACTTTACGCATGCTAAACTGCCGCCACCAAGCATATTCCCGACTCCCTCCCACCCCTCCTATGTAAGAGTGGCCTAAATTCCTCTGAATAAGAAAAACGATCGAACAAACGTTATTCAAAGATAAATGCTGTTCACGTCGCAGTTTCCTGCGAATGCTCTACGAAGTTTAAAGCAACAGTCCAGGCAGGGTTTCAACTACTTGGTCATTAGGCGGTCAAAACATGCCCCAGCCCAACTAAAGTTTATAGGAAATGTCTTTAATTTCAAAACCTACCTCTAAAATGCGCTGGAAGGGGTCGAAGTCCTCTTGGAGGGGGCGGATCACCCATAAAGAGGCGGGCAAAAACTTTCGCCCCAGCAGGGATTGCCGGGAACAAAGTTTTGCTCACAACTCAGCATTCCTGTTTTATGCAAAGGCATGCTATTGCGCAGAACTACTATCTCAGATCAGCTAACAGAAATAAAATATTGGATAAGCTCCAGTATTGAGGCTCGTCACTTGCACCTGCCTCAACCAGCCCAAGAGAATAATAAAATTTAAAATGACAAAGGTTTGCTTTGCAGATTTCTTCGAGAGCAACTTCTACCAGAGTGAGTAGAGTGTGTGTGAGTGTGTACAATATCACCCATTTGGTGTGACAAAGTATACGAAATTGTTGAATGGGGTGGACGAGCACAATTGAAGTCGAGTAAACAAGCTTTATATAGTCACTTCGTATTAAGTTGCTGGACGCCTCCTTCGGGATTCGAAATGCCTGAAGTGAATTTGGGAGTGAAGCTCTATTTCAAAAAATTTCAAGACCCAAAGTCTCAGACGCCATATGGAAGAAAGAAGTTTGATATTTTGGATCGGCCTTTTGAAGCTTTTTGATATGAACCTCTGGAGCTGTTTTTAGTCACTAAGATTACAATGAGACTTTGGAGAAGCAAAATTCCCTTTTTTAGTTTGCCTCCTTTACAATTACCACTTTTCAAAACCAAATGTCATTCGTGTGGTATAAATAGTTTTTCATAAAAATTACAATTGCTATCATAATCAAATATTATCCTTGAGGTGCCACTCAAACAGCGTCGCGAATTCCGCCGTATACATTAGAAAAGGGGCCAAGAATGCGAACAGAATAAAGCACCAGGTAACCGCCCATAGTTATTCCTAGTGGGAGCAAAGGCAATCGGCAAGAGCCGTCGCTGATGTGTGAAACACAAGTCTTCCGCTTACCGTCGATTTTGGAGGTTGTGGAAACATTTTCAACGCATGTGGGAATCGTGATGTTCGCTCCCTCTTGCAGGCAGCAATGAATTGATAGATTTCTCTGAACCAATACATTTCACTTGGAAGGCCCCATTCATTACGCCAGAGCAGAAATTACTTACCATAGGCGTGAGACCTACAAAAAGGAACACCCGATCCCAGTCGGAGAACCAGACTTGTAGCAAATTTTCAAATGTAACTCGTTCAGTGGTGTCTGTTCAGTTATCAGGCAGGAGTTCAAGTATCTCTGAACCAATCAGCCCTTCTTGATCACTTCTCTCAGACTAGACTTTCATTGATGAGAGCGTAGCGCTACGAAGTATATTATGACCCCTGCCCTTTTGTCACATGCACGGAGTAATACTAAATTGTACTAAAACTCCTGTCACAGGAGGGGCATCCGCAAGAAAGTAACAATAAGAAGTCAAAATGTAAATAAATCTTTTCGAAATTCCAAGGAAGACTCTTCACAAACTCTCCCCTGCATACATCCCCGATACGATCCAATTCTGAAATACATTCCACTCCGAAAGCTTGATTTATTCACCATAGGGCCAGGAACAATATTTATTTCTATCATATCAACGGCATTTCTCCTCACGAGGGTTCCTCTACGCTTGGCCCTGGAGAAAACTGTTCCGGCCCAGCCTTAGCCCCAAATGGGTTTGTTCGATGTGGCACCTACTCGCTCCACTGGGGAGGCAACATGTTGGGCTTGAATCAGGTTGAATTGCAGAGAGACTTTTGAATTTAATTTATAAATTTTGAGAAGTTTTAATTCAATTTTTTGAAATTTTGAGGAGCGAACAGGAATTTCGGAAATTTTCGTTTTTTTTCCGCTCTCACGACGAGACTTATCGAAGGAAAATGCGGGTACTTTGAAATAGTGGGGACCGATCACATCTTCTTTTTTGATTCACATTCCAAACATTCCTCAAGGGTTCATCTTAAATTTTCTTGAAAATTCATCACCCAAAAGGTCAAGTTTCACGGTTGTCAGATACTTTTTATGTTTGCCCCATGTCAAGATGTTTACCAACGTCGCCGTTTATTTTTGGACGCAATCTTACATAATTGCACTATCATTGTGACAACCCTTCACAAGTCATAGTGGCATCACCATAGAAAGAAGAATAAAAAAAATTAAATTAAAAGAAAAACTTTTTCATTACAAATGCTTAGCGTCTGGCTCGCGGAATACCGCGCGGCAAACGGGGGCAGCTCCTCATGGCTCCTCTTGGAGGGCCGCGATAATTTTGTCGGCGAAACCTAGCGGCGAGCTATAAACGCTTACATGCTATCAACCTCGTTGTGGGACACTTGAAAATACGACAAACAAAAATGCAGCTCTCCCCTAAATCCTTTTTCCTGAATGCGCAACACATTTAATTGCTAGCCAAAAACGTTGCTATACTATGGACATTGGCTAACTGCGCTGCGAACGCCTCACAATACTCATAGGTGGCATGGAAAGACGGGACAGCATAGTAAAGTGGACCTGCGGACGACGGTCGAGGGCCGTATGCTATGCTTCCCCGAAGCTAAGTGATCAAAGTTTCCTTTAAATTTATGTTGTTTGAACGATATAGTTTCTTCATTTTTAGCGCATGTTTGCTTTTACCTACATACATACATTTAATGTAGGTAGTGAGTACGGGCCAGCAAGTCCTTTACAGGGCAATCCCAGATGCGGGAAGACAGGGAAGAAGTTCAAGCGGCACGTTTTCGCCCCCCTTCCCACCCCAGTCGGGGAGGATAGCATACGATCCCAGGAGAGGAGAGAAGCGTCAGGAAAGAAGACCAATTGCTCATATCGTCCCCACCAACTGCCCATATCCTCCCACAGAATCATCCTTCCCCTCTCTGAGGATTGCACCCCAATAGCTTGTGCAGCGGCCTCATTCGCTTGGAAGAGAATCACCCCCACCCACCGCCCTGCCATAGGCACATATCAGTCACGTGCCTGCTTTTGAACACAAGACGTCATCAGTCCTGATAGCAGGACGCTATTATAGCAAGCTCGCATCCCCCACCCTTTAATTGTTTTGTCTTCCTAATTTGGTTTAGATAAATTCATAATGAGGTGTCAAACATACACAGAGCGAGTAGAACTTATATCTAATTAGTGGCCGCTAGTGTTTTATGTTTACTTTTTGTGAGCGCTTTTTTGTTGGCCATGGTAGGTTTATGTTTTATAGGAACAAGTTTACGAGGAAGAACCACTGAGTATGCGGTTCACGCGGAACAACTTTCATTTTTCATTTTCTATGCTATTTTTCTTCTTTCATACTTGTCTTTCCACAAGGAATCACTGTTTGTTAATAATATATCTTCAAAAATATCGAAGCAAAACAACAGCTAAGAGATTTTTGCAACCGCCACCGCAATAACCCTGGTAGTGATACCATAGTTCGTGTGTGGCTATCTGACTTGCTGACCTTAACCTAGTTCCATTCAAAATAAGGCCGGAAAGGCTATGAGTTAGCAAGCGTCCAAGGCGCTGCGTTGAGGAATCGCTCGACACCGTCGTTCAGGGGGGGGGGAGGGAGGTCGTAATCGGCAAAAGCTTCGACTGCGGTGGCGGAATGAGATTCGGGAGCCATTTGGGTGCAGTGATCATCACGGCGTCGGATGCGACAAACATACAAGGATGATGTCCAGAAGTTGGATCAAGAAGAAACAGTGCCATAGGAGGATTTCCAATGAAAATGATATTTCACCCACACAAAATTTTCGTGATTCTGAGGCGTCCGGTAATTCTTAGTTACTTCAGTGTTTTATCACCACACAAGTTAAAGAATCTGAATTTCGCACGCTTTCCAAGAGATATTTCATCTTTCAAGTAAGACCCCGAATCTGAAGGGATGTGAGGTACACGGCGCATCCGAGAAAGGGTCTAGTTGTTGCGCGCGCTTCAACTACGGCTCCTTGGACAAACAACCTCAATTCAGGAACAATCGAGAGAATTCTGAAAGTGTCCGTGCGCATTTACAGGGAGGTGTACACCATTCAACATTGCGTTAACGGACTCTTCAGGGTTAAATTTATAAACATGTAACCTTTAAAGTTGAGAAACGCTAATCAATCACTTTTCTTAGAAAGAGAAAAGCAATGATTCCAAATCTGCTCTTACTTTAGTACATACGCCCTTAAAAGGATATACAGCCGTTGAAATAGTGCCAATGTAGCGAAAAAGTACCTTTCGGCGGTACTCGTGCGAAAATCCTCAACGTAGCCGTTTTTTTAATACTGGACGTTTGGAGCAGTTCTAGTAAGCATTTGATAGAGCAAATCTTCTAGTTTATGATGGCGTATTTACTTTTCGGATTGGATGAGTTTGAACGGAGTTATGGCTTTAGGAAATAAAAAAACTCGCACTCATCACAAATTTTCCTCGTTAATTTTGCAGAAATCCTCAACGTGGCCATTTTTTGAATACTGGACGTATAAAGCTGCTTTAGCAACGGTTTGGTAGAGAAAATCTTCTAGTTTTGTATGACGTATCAACTTTTTCGAATTTGACGGAAATGAAGCAAGTTATTGCTCCGGAAAGTGTAAAAACTCGTGCTCGTCTCGAATTTTCCTCGTTATTTGATCTAAATTTGTTATTTCTTATAACTTCCTGTAATTTCAGTACTGATTAGAAAAAGCTCTTCACAAAACTTCCAAATCTGCTTTCAGATTGAAAATTCGTCATATTTGAAGAAAGTTATAATCATTTGAATATTTGTTCAAATTTCAATAGTAAATAAGCTGCTCCACGGTCAACGCCAAAGTCCAGTCAACACACAGCTGGCGAAGGCGGTTAAAAAGCTTCTTTCAACTGAAGGGCTACGTGCAAATTGAGAACCACAATCTGTGTAGTACTAGAATTTGGTAAGTCTTGTGGAGGAAATAAATAAAGAAGATATTTTGTAATAGTATGCCATTTTTAGTGGCTAGTTTGTCGTTTTCTGGTCTGTTTCTCGTTTGCTCGTTTGGTAGGACTCATCAATAATGATTATTCTTTGACTTTTTCACTTTTTTAATTCTTAAACGAATTTTTTTGTGGGCGGTGGAACAGGTGGCAGAAGTAAAAAGGAAGGATCAAGCAGAACGCTTTTTTAGGGGAGAAAATCAAACAAGCTTTCCCTCAGAACCACCATAATTTCATAGTTCGGCGCTTTTTTTGCATAGAAAATAGGTTGTGTTTCTGGACTTTCCGGGCCTCCGGCGGAGGGTGAGTGGAGGGGGGGAGGCGCGGTCCGCTATTTCCAAATTTTCCATCAACGCCTCGCATTTGGACTGGAAAGGCTATGATAGACTGACATTGAGTCAACTGGCTGAGAAATTTGCGCAACCCCCCATTGTGAGTGTCCTGATGCCTATTCACCATAATATCGCGCCCAATCAAAGGTCTGAGGAGCAGAACGTCGTTACAGTGGTTCTCTAGAATGAGACAAGAACCAAGAATCTGAAGGCCTCATGTCTAATATTGGATTAATATTATATGGAGCTTCAGGTGTTTCTGTCAGCATGGACCTCGTGAATGCGAAAAGAACGCTCTACAAGCTTGTGTTATGTCATATTTGCCTGAACCTGAGGATCACATGGAGCTTAGTGAGTTCGACGAGTAGCTTACCTGGTTAGGTAACATCAATGTTGGCTAACTCTGAATGCCTTTCAGTTAATTGCATTCAAGGAGGTGCCGCTTTCAACGACTCCGTGGCTTCTTGCATCAGTGATGGAGCACTGAAAAACAGGGCTACCACAGATCAGTGAGTTAGGCTGTGCGACTCGGTGCTCCATTTTAGGTCATTTTAGTTTGAAACAACTATGAAAAAGGCCTTTCAACACGGGAAAAGATTTTTTGTGGCTTCTGCACAGTCAGGATTCGTAAAGGACGCAAAATGAGGACTGCTTTCTCATTACTGCCCTGAGCGATACAAAATTGCCTCTGGAAACTAGTTAGCTTGAGCACTGCAAATTATTTTTCAACAATAGATGCAATAGAACACAGCAACAAAAGAATGAAGTGGTGCTGGAAGCGATTTTGAGTGCGCGCTGAGAAAAACAACATAAAATCCTGATTTCGCAGTTTTTTTTTGCGAATCTGAGCACCTTACCACTTGACACCTGAAACACAGCTTAGGAATTAGCAAGGGTTGTCTTTTGCGCATCGTTTTCTTTGTCCCTTTTGACCTCAGGCGCGTGGCAGGTGGAGTCGCGTATAACGCGCGTAGCCAAAGCCGAATCCCGAAAGAAATCCGGGTTGACGGGAGGCTCGTTGCGCGGCAAGAAGGCAGAGACGCAGATGGGTCAGCGCACGAGTTCCAATACTGTAGTGATTTCGCGTCCAGTTTGTTAGAATAGACTGTAGCACATCGCACATCACATCGCGCTGCACTACGTCGCCTGACCCGGTTCGGCGTCTCTACCTACATGCGCTCGCGAGGGTTAAAAGCAAAGGATAAAGCATTTGCCGTTGATCAATCCCTTTTTGGGATGCGGCACGCATTCTACTTCCATTTGTACATTCGTAGTGGCGTTTGAATGCGATGTGGCCTATACAATGACTTGCGGGGGCCAGCCGATGTTCAAGTCAGTGTTTTTATCCTCCCAGACAAGTCTGGTACCAATTAACCGACCCCGGAGGGATGGAAGGCTTGGTTGGCCCGGGCGACTCACGACCCAGGATTTGATCCCCGGACCGCTCGCGTGGTGAGCGCGCCACTTGTCACTGCACCACTTCCGCCCTACGGGCTTCGTGGCGGGTGAAAAGGGACATCCTGTGCAGACCAGACTAGGTTAACCGAGTACCTGAGTGAATTTACAGCCGTAGCAGAAGTCTTGTTTTTTTTTGTTTTTTATCCTCCCAGACAAGTCTGGTACCAATTAACCGACCCCGGAGGGATGGAAGGCTTGGTTGGCCCGGGCGACTCACGACAGGGTGAATATCGGTCGAGGAAATCCTCGACAGGGGGTCGTACCTGTTGGGCTGGTCCATGGGGGGTCGTACTCTTGGGGGTCAGTAACAGAAGTGGTATCATGGTGCAGATAGGTAATAGGGTATAGCGCAGCAGAAAATGAAAACATCCGAAAAAAAACATGATATTAAATTTTCTTTGCAGGTTCAGTCGCTCCATTCCTCCACCTTCATGAGAAGGGCGTATTTGAAGGCAGTACAAAGAATGAAAGTGCATCCCCGCAAAGAAGAGTGCCACATGTGCGCACGCGCTGCAAAGGCACCTCCTCCGCCTATCACTCGCTCCTTCTCCCTTAATACCTCGCTGAGAATGACGCTGTTGTTAGGGACCCTGTCGGAAAAACGACAACCGTGAAGAAAAAGCGCTGGGCAAATGAAGTTGTTTTTTAGGTTACAGGAATAGCACAACACACTATGTCTACTACAATACAGTTTCGTTCGAAGGTCCCCATCATAT